TTGCCGCTGTAATTGGATTGGCTGTTTCTAACGAGGCTTCTGTCACTGATGGCACAGATGCGGTGGAGTGATGCTTTCTCTTTATGCGTTCCCTTCGGTTATGCATTTTTAAGGCGTGTAATAGGCAGCGGGCCGCACAGCAAGGAAGGTACTAGATGATGTTTACAGAACACTTGCTCCATTAAAAACGTTTGGCCGTGCTACTTTGTATGATTATTTCAAATGAGCGTGTCTAATGCTAATGTCACTTTGCATTTGTATAAACAGAAACATCTATTCCCCAAGTAAACAATACAAGAAACAGAGCCTAGCTTCTTAGGATGTGTTCGAGGTGTCTTCTGGAAGAAGAATGAGAACCTACAGCAGGGTCTAAATTACAGATATGAGAAACCACTGCCCAAAAAGAGAAATGGACTGCAGAAAATGGATGTGGCTCCCAGCTCCCCGCCCTGGCATCATAAATAACCTCAACATTGATCGGCTGTAGTCTGTGATTCTCCGCAGCCCTTCTCTCAAACATTCATCAGCCTTGCGTCTGATGTGTTTGCCGGCTACTTAATCCTCCGATTACTCAGTTGGCCTTTGCCCAGTGCCTACAGCTCTACCTCTCTGTGATTTGCTGGGTACCCAGAATAGAGCATTTTATGGTGCTAATCTGTAATAAATCTAAAGTTATTCGAAAGTGAACAGCCCTGAAGTCATACAGGGTTTATGCAGCACTGTCTACTTCCTAACATTGCTCCCTTCTCCAATTCAGGGATCAAATTAAAGTTCTGTAAGATGCTCATGCTCCAAAAGAACAAAAGTGCTGAATGTGGAATAAAAAAAAGAGTTGAGATCCTCTGGCGAAGATTCATCCTAGTTTCACAGTCTCTGAGGGTGATCGGTGTATTTCTACATTGTGAGAATTGAACTGATTTGAACAGATTTCTCAGGCAGCAAAATTTGTAGCCTGGCAGCAACCTAAGTATATAAGAAAACAAACAGAAACAGGAGTAAAATACTCTCTCTGGTGCTTAAGCATGCATTTTTTATAAATGCTTGAGAGACTAAAAAAGAAAAGGGATTTATGATTGTGGAATTTCGGATTGAGGTTTAACAGAAATGGGAAATCAGGTCAGATGGTGATAATAAAAGATTTTGACTTCCTTTGTTTTTGTGTCCCCATCTTCCACCAGATCAGACCGTCGGGCATCCATTCATTCTCTTGACTCAGTTGAAGGCAATCTGGATGGATGAGTCCAGATAGTGCTCTGGGGCGCTAAAGAGCTCCCACTGTCTTCACAGTGCTGTACCAGAGGCCTGACAGTGGACATGTTGATACACGGTTCCCTTTATCTTGCAAGGTCGGGCCATTTATTTTGTGAATGCTTCTGAATGTAAAGGGCTTGCCATTTTCCATGATCTGTGAGAAGCTAGTCTTTGTTCCTCTGTGGAGGATTCCTCTGGTTCAGCTGGAAGAGGATCTTTTCAGAAAGCCTGCCATGGTGAGGGACATGCCCTTCAGTAGGAGTTTTGTGAATTGTTCTGTTTCCTGGCTCTTTTCACTGGACCGACTTGAAAAGTGGCTATTTGTTTTTGAATAGATTTTCACCATTATCACAAATTTAAATGTATATTCATATAAAAGTAATCCATGCAGAACATTTTTGAAAGCAGTCTTCTTGTGTTTTGAAGACAACTCTGCACTCTTTTTTTTATACAGCAGATGGGGTTTCTGTGAGGTACACTGTATTTGATTTGATCTCGACTTAGAGGGGTTTCTGTGATAAATTGGGCCTTTTGGATAATCCTATCAGATTATCATTTGCATACCAGCATACATTATTCATTTAGTGTCTGCCTCTCCAATTAGTCGAAGTCAGGTTTTTCTCCGGAGAGGTTTTAACATCTGTGTGACCCTGGAAATCCTGCAGGAGATTTAAGCTAATCAGCCACAGCCTCATCAGCTCTTCAGAGGTGTGTTTGCCTGTGTGTTTACTCTTTTTGCTTTTCATTCCCTCACTCTTTCTTGCTCTGTCTTGACCTGTCCTGGGCACCATGCTCCAGTGGGAGCTTCCTCTCTGTGAGCGAGACAAAGGATCAGATCGCTTGACAAAATGCCACTGCCATGCCTGTCAGTGAGGGCGGCGCCCCCTCACATCCCCACTCGGCTCGGGATCGAAGTTTCCTTTTAAAAACATTTTTGCTACCCTTGCACCTGGATTCCACCCCCTTAACATCTTAGCCGGTGCTCAGTGCCATCTATTGAAAACCATCCGGCCATTTATGTGGTTTGTTGTTTTGACTGTTTGCTCACATCTTTTATGCCGTTTTCTCCACGGCTCTCTGAAGACTTGTGCCGATTCCTACCATAGATACAGAAGTTTCTCTAACGGCTGTCTGACTACGTCTCACCACAGTCTAGACTCCAGTGCTTCACCCGCTGACTCGCTGTCTGCTTCTGTGCCTGCCTTCTTCCTGACTGACTGTCTTTTTGAGTCGCTGCTTCAAGGCTTAAAGCGCTTGACTGCTTGACAGATTGTTTGACTCTTTGACTTCTTCACTCATGTTTTTGAAGCGAATCATTGGCTGGATTGATCTGTGCTCCTCATGCCCCTATGGGGAGTGATACTCCCTTTCCCCAGTCTCACTTTCTTTTTCTACTTCTCAGACACAACTATCTTCCCCTAGGACTTCATTGCTGCCTTTAAACTTGTCTTTCTTTTATCTATCTTGATGTATTTTCTCCGCATCCCTCTCTTCTCTTCATGAAAGGCTTAATTTTTGTTGATTTAGTTTATTAGTGGATGCTCTTGCAGTTTGGAAGACATCCTGCGCAGGTGGTGCACCTGAGGCGGAGAGGGTAATTCTTTATTCCCTGAGTGTGTACCCATTCCTGAGGGATGAGAGTGTTAGGGAATGACAGCTCTTTGTAACCTGGTTTCTTCCTCTAGCTGTTTATCTAGGAGCTGTCTTTCCTCCTCTTATTTGGTTTTTAATGAAAAAAGCAGAATTTGAGTGCTTGTGCTGAATGAGACAGGTGGTACTCTGATCTTTCCATGTACTAGTTCTCACTAGAATCTTAATGCAAAGAGAGCAACAGCCACATAAACATAGCCTGGGGTTGAGGCTTGGGGTCTACTATAACACTGCACAGCCAAAAGCGATACCTTTGCGCATCCCGTAAGCAATTGAAAGACTAAGGAAAGGTGTGATTAGCATGAAGAAACAGTAGCCTATTCATCTGAGCTGGATGTAGCCAAACAGGGTGGAAAATTCATACTTTAAAAGCCAGAGTGTGTTTTTAACGGTTAGTGGGTTCAGAACAGACTGAACTTCTGGTCTCAGAGAGAGAAAAAAATGGTGGAGAGAGAAATTACTGAAGCATCTCTTTTAAGAGACCACTGTCTGCTCCAAAAGCAAGTTACTGCACACCAAAATGTGTAGTATCGCGTCTTATAGGGGGACATTTTCCGTATCACCTGGGAATAAAAAATGAGAACCATAAACTTCCCACATTTTTGTTGGGTATGCTATTTTAGTGGTGCTTGCTAGGCATTTTACCCAGTGGTAATTTTTTTAAAGGCGTGGTTTCCAGTGTTTTGGCATTTGTATATATTTTATATGAATGAATTTTAGTTAATTTTACTTGAACTAAAATGGCATCTGGTTTTAATCAACAAAAATGTAATTTTAGTTAACTAAAGTGCAAATGTATATTTTATATAATGCTATATTAGATACATTTTATGTAAAGAAATATAGTTATTTTGTATGATTATTGTGGTCTTTTTGTCTTGTGATTCTCTTTGTCCCTTATCTTGACATCATATTCTCAGTCATCCTTAGCCATCTTTATCTGTTCTGATAAATGAACTGGTATTCTCTTGTGCATCACGTACAATGCATAGCTACCCTCTTGTGTTTCCAGCATAATGCTGATCCTGACACGCTTGGGGTTGTCTTACAGCTCTCATTAAGGGCTAGTTTTACAAGTGGCATCACTGCTGTGAGAATTTAATCCGGCTTGTGTTCTAAGGGTGGTTATCTCCATTGTACTGGCTTTAATGTGACAAATAGGCCTCCTCTGTCCCGCTTTGCACGAGAAACAGAGCTGTTAGTGGTGTGTTCACAATAGGGGTTGTGATTCCTGCTGAATAATGGTGGCATGCTTGTAATATCTCTGGTTTACTGCCCCCTTCGTTCCTGAATCATTACTAGTATGGAATGCACTATTCGCCTTAAGTGTACTGTTGTGAACACAGCTACCAGTATTTGTGGAGTTTGTTTCCACCGCGGTCTCCATAGAAATGCGAACCCATGCACATAATTGAATTATATCGATATGATTCATTGACATTTGGTGGGTGGAAATAAACAATGACACAGTTATTGTTTTGTTCCTGTTTGTGTGGTTGTATTGGTTTCAAGTCAATTATATTAAACAAATTCTCATTACAAGAAACGTTTATGCATGAATTCTCTGAAACAAATAAGGAGCAGGAGCCAGCGTTGTGTCATACTGGCATCAGTGTTACGAACAGTAATGACTGTGCAGTGAAAGAAGGATCAGGAAGGAAGGTTTGCTTTAGAGACCCTAAGGACAGAAGGAATGGTAGGTTTGTAGGCTGGTAAGTGAACAGTGCCTGGGGTAGATCATGCCAGAGGCGATCCTTCAGACACTCATTGGCTTATCTAAGCCAAGTCTGGGCCTGGGGATCCAAATCACAGTGTGTGATAGCTGTTTGCTTAATCACTGGTACAGGAAGAAGGAAATGAGTTGACTGTCAATAGGCTCCAGGAAATTAAATATGCTCCACACGCTGCAGAAATGAGATGGTGTCAGAGTTCTCCATGCCTGTGAAGTGACAGTGTTTTAATGCTGTTGAATATGGAAATATTTCCATAGGTTTGCAGTTATTTTCCAAAAAAGGCTTTTCCATTTGTTTTTGTTTTTTAAACAATCAGGTTGAATTCAAAATGATCTGACATTCTTTATTTGTCTCCTTCTTTTCCAGTTTCTGTGTCTGAAGAACATCCGAACATTCCTGAAAGTGTGCCATGATAAGTTTGGCCTGAGGAACAGTGAGCTGTTTGATCCCTTCGATCTCTTTGACGTGAGGGACTTTGGGAAGGTGAGAAACAGTGGTTTTGCTGAGCACGGACGTTATCTAAGACTATTAATCATTTTGCACCATCATGTTTAAGTCTCTGCAGCTGAATGGCATTAATGTTGTGTGCACTTTTAATGGGAGATTAACTAGGCTCCGATCAGGATTTTTGCAGCCGATACCGAGTACCAATTTCTTGTCATGGGGATCGGCCGATACCGATGCCGATTCTGATGCTTCAAGCCAGAGATGGGCACTCGAGTTAGTGACTCGGGCTCGAGTCGCATTTTTATAGACTTCAGACTTGACTAGAAAATTTAAAAGCAACTCGAATCTTTTATCCTTATATACTTATATAACTGATATTCAAAAGGCGAACCGCATCTGCACCCCGGCATTCATCCGGACCGCGAGCCGTAACAGCACCATTTTAAGTGAGCAGCACGTCAAAACAGCGGAGCGGATCACATAACAAGCGCTCAGGGTCGTTATGGTAAATATCTTTCAGCGCTATATCTTCTAGTATTTTTATCAAAAGCCAAAAGTGCTTTATTCAAGCCCTTTCAGCTCCGTGCGCTTTCTCTTTCTCTCTCCGGACACGCGCCGGCGCCAAGAGCTGCGGATTACGCGGTTATTTTAACAACAGCAAAACACAGCAGAAAATAACAATGCTGCAAATATAGTTATTTTTCATACTATCTATTTATCTATCTATAACCTATGACTCTGACTGTTAAAACCTTGAACAGAAACAGTATTTTTTTCTGTCACATGGCCTCTCATGTATCTAAATGTAAAAATGCAATACATGTAAAACTGTTTTTTGTTTTTTTTGTTCGGACCTCTGCTTGGAAGAAAATATAGAGGCCGCGCCTTGGAACTTTAATTGAATACCCCTGACTTATATAATAAAGAAATACTTTATTTGTATGGTTTTGTAATACCTGTGTCACATATTTCCTTGTGTGTGTTGGTAGATCGGACTCTTATTATAGAATTTCATTACAGAAAAACTGTTTTGAACATGGTAATGGATTAAAACATAGCCTATAAATAACAGGCTGGATGTACAATAACCTGACATCTTAACACCACTTTTTATTTTTTACAAAGCAGATCATAGAATATATATTTTGTCTATAGCCTATAAAACAGCTTCTAAATAGGAAGATTTCAATACATGAGGATTCTGAATGAGATATTTTTAGCAAGCCATTAAATGACTTGAGACTCAACTCGGACTCGTGACCAAAGACTTGAGACTTGACTTCAGACTTGACTCAGACTCTAAGTTAAAGACTTGTGAACATCTCTGCTTCAAGCTTTATATAACATATGTAATAATGTTATATAAATAATCACAAAAAATATTCCTTATACGGTGAACATTTGAATATGCATTTAAAATGGGGTTTATGCATAACATTATGTATATCAGGATACTTAATATAAGACAAAAATAAATACAAACAAAATGGAGCAGTCTGATGCAACCCACAAGGTTTATTTAAACATTATCCAATAGTAAGCTGTGGAGGACAAAATAAACATTAAATAAATAAAAAAAAACATTTAAACTCCTAAAAGAACTAATTGGAGTACACTGTAAAAAATGTTCACCCCTTTCAACTTAAAAACGTAAGTTTTGTAAGTGATTGTTTAAAGCAGGGGTGTCGAACCTTGAATGTTTTAGTTGCGTTGCTGCCAATGGGGGAACAGAAAGCCCTCGGATTTCATCAAAAATATTTTCATTTGTGTTCTGAAGATGAACAAAGGTCTTACAGGTGTGGAACGACATGAGAGTGAGTAATTAATCAGAATT